ATTCCGGTGTACATGGGGATAAAGAGGAGACAACCAAAGAAAGCCAGGTCAGGAAGCTAACCTCACACATTCATCTTAAAGTGACACTAAACTCAGGAGTTAAATCTTAAAAATACATTCAATTACCTTAACTATTACCAAAATGTACCTTATTTGCGTATCACTCGGCTGTAGATCCTCAAATCATCTCTGAATTGGTGCTGACACTGTCCTTCCTTCTGGAGGGTGGCTACTTTTGTTCCCCATGGTCCCTGTGTTTTGTAAAGTAGTCACCACTCCAAGCTCACTCCTGTGATGGACTACAATCTCAATACAAATTAGTAAACTAAACATGAGATTGTATTTCATCCCGGGAGTGAGCTTGGAGCGGTGACTACTTTACAACAGTTATGAAGATGAAATGTTTTAAAAAAACAAATCCATCTTGTCATATGAGAATCATTGAAGTCCGTCAAGGTATATTGAATCTTTATCGTTATAATTTATCTATTAATTCGGATGCGGTACTGGCCCAGTCCAACCAAGACAAAATAATATTAAAAAACTCCACTTGCTTGGCCTACAAGACTCTGCTCTCTCATGGTTCTCCTCCTATCTATCTAAGCGCTCCTTTAGTGTCACCTACAAATCTAACTCCTCCCCTCCTCTTCCTGTAGGGGTCCTAATCTACTAACTGACATATCAGTCTGGATGTCACAACACTTCTTAATACTCAACCTTTCAAACATTTCACTTGAGATTCATAGCACAACTATCCAACCCTCCCCCCACGCCAAGGCCCTAGGTGTCATCATTGAATCGGACCTCACCTTTCCTCCCCACATCAAATCACTATCCAAATCCTGCCGCCTTCACCTTCCTAACATCTCCAAAATACGCCCCTTCCCCACCAATGAAACCTCAAAGCTTCTCATCCACTCCCTTGTTATATCTCGTCTTGACTATTGCAATTCCCTCCTCATTGGCCTTCCACTACACAGGCTATCCCCCTTTCAGTCTACGATTAATGCTGCCGCTAGACTCATCCACATAGCCAACCACTCAGTGTCTGCAACCCCCCTCTACCAATCCCTCCACCTGCTTCCATCCCACGCTTACCTCTGCCAATCCCCCAAAGGATAAAATTCAAAATATTAACAACCACTTACAAAGCCATCCACAACTCTGCCCCCGGCTATATCACCAACCTTGCCTCAAAGTATCACACTAACTGTCCACTCCGCTCATCCCAAGACCTCCTGCTTTCCAGCTCCTTCGTCAACTCCTTCCATGCTCGCCTTCGGGACTTCTCTAGAGTCTCTCCCTTCCTCTGGAACTATGTACCTTAACCTGTCCGACTATCTCCCACTCTGACTGCCTTTAGGCGATCCCTTAAGACTCATCTCTTCAGTGAAGCCCATCCCACCTCAACCATCACGTTCTCAAACAATTCATCCCCAAACAGCTCCCTCCTTATGTATCACTTGCCCCTCCCTTTAGATTGTAAGCCCTCACGTGCAGGGCCCTCCCTACCATCTTGTCTTGAATTGTATTGTGATTGTAATGTCTTCCTTATATTGTACAGAGCTGCGCAAGCGGCGCTATATACATCCTGTGTAATAACGATATTAAGATACTTTTAAAAAAATCAGAAAAAGCCACAAGTTGCCAATCGCCGTCTTCTGTGTGCACATACGTTTGCCCGTACTCTCCTTCCCGTCTACGCCGGGGGAGCCCATACAATTCTCTATGCCGGGATTGTGATAATATTTAAGTCCGGCACAAAAACTCATTATGGGAAGAAAAAAAAAAGTCATCAACTAATTAACATTTTCCAACTTTAATGTGTAATCTACTGACGCAGATGGAGCCAGACACAAATTTTTGGTCTAGAGAGAAATAAAACTTATTATCGGATGTCTTTACAATATGCTGGTGACATTTCCACCGTGCTAATTTATGGAAGACAAGAAGCGGCACAAGCTGTTCAAAAAAATCACACCGCAAAAATAGAAGGGAGATAAAAATGTATTCTTTTATTCAAACGTCGGATGGCAAGGAAGGCAGAAGAATACACAGTGTGTATAGGTACAAAGTCTAAAACATTGTATCATGAAGGTAGAAGAACAAACGCTGTGGGATTTGTAGTTTCACAACAGCTGGAAGGGGTGGAGTTTGCCCGACCCTGCTCTAGTGGCTGTCTTTATTTCACTGCAATCACTCATTGATCAACAAGATGAAATCGCACTCGTAGAGGACACCCTTTTCAGACCCTACCTGGTAGCCCTGTGGTATGAAATGATGATCAGGAAGGCACAACCATTGTGTAGCACTGCTAAGCAGAACTCATAAGCCAGGTTTATAAAACATTAACACAAGTTGATGGGATCATCTAAATTCCATTGGTCACTCATACATGTGTATCTAGACCAGTGATCCTCAACCTGTGTTACCTCAGGACCCACATTTGTCCTTGGTCATTAAGTCGCGACCCAAGTCACAGTCCAATGGAACGCACGGCATTAGAGTATCAAGCGTTTTGGTTGTGGGTGTACAAACTGTGGATGGGAGGTGCGTTTGGGGTGCCATTCAAGTGAATGGCAACGCAACACACCTCACACGCCAGAGTGCACGGTACTATGTGATTAATGCACTGTACTAGTGTGAACGGGCCCTCAAAAACACTGACACAATCTGATACACTCACACACACATACACACGCCAAACATGTTTTACATTTAATTACATTTTTTTTTAAGGTCACCCAGTCTCCCTACCTTCTGTCAACTAGAGTGGATCCTCAGCCCGGGGTCCAGTGTGGGCTGCTGTGCTGGAGCTCCATCCATATGTGAATTGCTTATACAACCCCCCTTGCGTGCCCTGTAGAGGTGCTGGGAGCCAGCATGTGATGTCACCATGACACCTCTATAGGACACATGAAGGGGCTGTAAGCAATGAGCGTATTGATGGAGCTTCCTCACGGTCATAGCCCACTCCACCTCAAGCTGACACTCGGCGCCGGGCAGCATATTTTGAATGGCTGACAGTGCTGCGCTAGGGGGGGGGGGGGCAGAGGAGCCTCTCACCTTGAAAAGTGGAAGGCATGCAGCGACCCACTGAACACGGGGTTACAACCCACCACTTGAGAACCAAGGATCTAGACAATAATAACCAGAATATCATCTCCCCTCACTAAGGCAGCGCAAAGAGTGATGGTGATCTCTATAAAAAAGCAGTAACCTGTACCAGCCAATCAGAATGCATCCATCCGTGATCTGACTACAGTAGAGTGAAACATGACTTTGGCACGGCTTATTTTGATATTCATGGTGACCATCGGTATTACCTTACAGAATAAGCTGTAATAATAAGAATAAGAATAATCTTAAAATGAAACTTTTTGTACATCATTTCCTGTCATGGAGCTTGGTCACCTCTCTGTCCCCATTCTGTGATTGGAAAGCACAGGAGCATCAGCTGCTCAACCCTCTGCTCCCGCTGATCTCTCCTGCTCTCAGCGTGTTTCTTGTATAGGAAGCACTTTAAGCCCCCGGCTTAAAGTGCTGCTGTGCAGGGTTTCACTAAACGGTTAATACCAAGACAGATGCAGGTATGCATTTCATTATACATGACCACATTGGTATTTCATGTCTACCTGCAGGAAAATATAAAACACACAGGCTCATTCAGCTCTGTGTTCATTATTTTACAGGCACACAGTGTAAGTACCTAAATTTAACTTGACATCTGCCTCTTGCAGTCACCGTGCAGCAGAGCTTGAACTGGTAGCCAGCAGTGCTCATCTGCTAACAAGGAACATGCTGATAGATGGAGAGAGCAGAGGGACAGAGAGGCGACCTAGCCGTTCTGCTGCTTCTCCTTTCCCTGTAGAGTCACAGGCTGGAAGAGACAAAAACTGTAAGGGCTCGTTCACACCATCTTCAGTGCATTCTGGCCCGGTTCTGGCTGGAACGCACTGGATTGCATTGCGGCTGGCTCAGTATGTTGTGGGGCGGGAGGGGGCGTAGTGGTGCATTGAAGTGAAGTGCTTGCAGCATTTTTTCTGACCGGACCGGACCGCAGGCATTGATGTGTCTTGCGTTCCCGTGCGGCCAATTGCATTGTGGCCTGAGGGCGGTGCGGTGCCATTCACTTCAACGCAGTGCCACGCCCCCTCCTGCTCCACAACAAACTGAGCTGGCTGCAATGCGATCCAGTGCATTCTGGCCAGAATCGGCCCAGAACGCACTGTAGATGGTGTGAACTAACCCTAAGTGTCCCTGAACAGGGCAGAAGAAAATAAGGTTTCCTGCCCTGGCAGACAGGGCTGTGCCATGTGTGACAGAACTGTGTAAATCTCAAGACTGGATGCACAAAAATACAAATTATTTGGCACGCAAAACAGCTCTTATTTGTCTGAAGTTTAGCTTTGAAGATCTCTAGGGAGTAGAAAACGTAACCCTTGCAGTGGGGCTATCCTTGCACGGCAAGGCTGCAGGGACCGGTCTAGCAGCTAGCCGCCTCCAGGTTTAGTATTCCTTTGTTCTTTTAGACCAGGGGTGGGGAACCTCCGACCCTCCAGCTGTGGTGAAACTACAAATCCCATGAGGCATTGCATGGTTCTCACAGCCACAGGCATGACTCCCAGAGACAGATGCATCATGGGATTTGCAGTTCCACTACAGCTGTTTTAGACCCTGGACGAAAACATTAACTTAACCCTTGCAGTGCGGAGTAGCCTCACTGCAAGGGTTACGTTTTTTAGTGCCCCGGTGTGGGGTGTTGTGTGTGTCTGCCCCGGTGTGGGGTGTTGTGTGTGTCTGCCCCGGTGTGGGGTGTTGTGTGTGTATATAGAAGCCTCACTGCAAGGGTTACGTTTTTTAGTGCCCCGGTGTGGGGTGTTGTGTGTGTCTGCCCCGGTGTGGGGTGTTGTGTGTGTCTGCCCCGGTGTGGGGTGTTGTGTGTGTATATAGAGATCTATATATACATACACACATATACATAACGCTTACTGTGACAGTCAATAACATGTTGCAAAATATTCCTTGATTTCTTTCGGTCCTCCGGAGCAAACTTCAATCGGAGGACGCCGCAGTGGATTTCCTTCCAAATTGCAGGAGCAGTAATTGTGGCTCCAGTCCAACATAATAAGATTTCCAAATTCCACAGGAAGTTCCTGCAATTCATTGCTCCCGAGCCACAGACAAGAGAGCTTTGTTAGGCAGCAGAATTCCTCCGGAAGGAATTTGACACAATTGAGCATCAGTAGAAACGTTTGCAGCTTCCTCAGCTGTTTAATGCTGGGCGGGATGGTCTCTATCCGATTGTCGCTGATGTCCAGGAACGTCAAGTTCAAGAGCTGACAAATCACGACCGGAAAGGTCTCAAAGCCATTATTGGCCAGGTGCAAGCTTTGCAGATTTTGGAGCTTGGCCAGTTCCGCGGGTAAAGACCGCAAATAATTATTACTCAGCGTTAGCCTCCGGAGGTTCTTCAGAGCCCCGATCTCCGGTGGGATCTCCCCAAGGTCGTTGGTATCCAGATACAAGGCCGTCAAGTTTGTCAAGAGCCGGATTTCCTTTGGGACGAAGCTCATCTGGAAGGAGAGGTTGTTCTCCCTCTCCGGTGTCATCTTCAATATCTGCAAATCCTTGATGGTGAAGACTTCCAAAGGAGGGCAGGAGAGTTCCTTGCCCTCGATCTTGACCTTCTGTTGAACCTTCCCACTGACAGTCTTTTCCGAAAGCCTTTTCCAGCCTTGCCCAACGTTGGAGAACGATGAGGCGGTCAAAGCTTTGTTCATGGCGGCGTCGATAACATAGTCTACATCTGAAGACTTCTCTCTGTCTCAAAGTATTTTATAGCAAGCGCGCGTCAAGCTAGTTTGTTTATTTGTCTGGTAATGAAAGCAAGTATATAAGTGGTCAAATGAATCGCCTGTAATAGAATGATGTCCTGGTTTTGGCTATTAGTCTTTTTCGTGACAGTTGCTAAGATACCGCTAATTCCAAAGTATTAACTGACAGCCCTTCCCAAGATCTACTTTTAGAAAGTTGAAGTGTGGATATAGAAAAGCCCTAAGGAGAAGTTACAGTGTGTTGTTCGGTCTGTTTGCTCAAAAGTTTAACTGTTATGTTAAACAAAAAAAAATGTATTGTGTAGACGGCGGAGTTACTAATCGCTAAATCCACCGCAAACATGTTTCAGCGTTTAGAGAAATCAATGATACCGGGGAGACGTCAGCAGTTTAAATGGAGCGGAAAGGAAAGTTTTCTCCTTTGTAATAAGTAGGAAAAGTTGCATGTTCATTGCTAGCCCTATACAAGAGGGGTGTCAGTCCTAGGGGCATGATCAACCACAAGCTGGTTGTTCCCTAAACATGTACACTCAGGTTGCCCAAGCATTCAAGTGACACTAAACTCAGGAGATACATTTTAAAAATGCATTCAAGTACCTGAGTTACCAAAACATGTATCTTATTTATAGACACATCCGGATTTCCGAATCCCAATGCATCCGAATGTGACCGAATCCGAATTTCTGTTTCCGGATTTCGGATCCCGTCCGAATTTCGTTCAAAAACAAAACTGAATCAAACATGTGACTTTTCTGGCCAATCAGATGTGTTTTTGGATTTAATGCATCTGAATGGATCCGAATACGAATTTTCGTTACGGCAACATGGGAGCCATATATATATATACAGGTGAAACTCGAATAATTAGAATATCGTGCAAAAGTAATTGCAGTAATTGCTGCAAAAGGGGCCCAAACCAAGTACTGAGTACATATGCATGCTTGTACTTTTCAGAGGAATATATATATACACACACATATAATACTAACGCTGATGCTCCTAGACCCGAATGGCATTCAGGTTCCGAATTTCTGAATTGCATTTGAGAGCTCCCGAATTTAGTTCGGAAATTCGGATCCCGAATGCCATTCGGGTCTGGGAGCCAAATACATATATTACTAAAGCTGAGGCTCCCAGACCCGAATGGCATTCGGGATCCGAATTTCCAAATTGCATTCGGTAGCTCTGAAATGCCATTTGGGTCTGGGAACCTCAGCTTTAGTAATATATGTATATGTCTCCCAGACCCGTTTAAAACTCAAATCACAAATAGGATGAGTATTATTTCTGTCTCTCCGGCTTTCATCTCTCTGATTGTAAAATTGCCATAAAAAAGCGATAACTTTGGAATTTAAACTTTTATTACTTCGATTTTTAGGTGTGACATTTCATGCTGAGAGCCGATCCAAATGTCACAGCAGTGAAGCTGCAAACAACAAAAAAATCCAAAGCAACTTTCAATATTGTTCTACAGAAATGTGAAGAACTTGTAATTCCAGAATATGACGTTTGTGTGCTGTTAATTGATCTCCAGGAAACATTGATATTAAAGTGACACTAAATTTAGGAGTTAAATCTTAACAAATGCATTCAAGTACCTTAACTATTAACAGAAATGTATCTTATTTGTGTATCACTTGGTTGTAGATCCTCAAATCATCTCTGAGTTGGTGCTGACACTGTCCTTCCTTCTGGAGGGTGGCTGCTTGTGTTCCCCCATGGTCCCTGTGTGTGTTGTAAAGTAGTCACCGCTCCAAGCTCACTTCTGTGATGGACTACAATCCCATGTTTAGTTTACTAATTTGTTTTGAGATTGTAGTCCATCACAGGAGTGAGCTTGGAGTGGTGCTACTTTACAACACACACAGGGACAATGGGGAACAAAAGTAGCCACCCTCCAGAATGAAGGACAGTGTCAGCACCAATTCAGAGATGATTTGAGGATCTACAGCCGAGTGATACACAAATAAGATACAATGTTGTTCATAATTAGGGAATTGGATGCGTTTTTATGATTTAACTCCTGAGTTTAGTGTCACTTTAAGTAAAAGTTAAAGAAAATTGGGCAGACAGCATTCATGACCACACGCGGAAAGCAATTGGGGAAGTGGGTTGAAAACAAATGGTGAATGCGGCAATTATGAGAGCAAACAAACAACAATGTGTGGGAAACAAAAGGGCAATCATGAAAATATATAGGAAACTAAGGGTGATCATGACAATACATGGGAAACAGAAGATGATCGTGACAATGTGTTGGCAACAAAAGGGCAATCATGAAAAAACCATGGGAAACAAAGTTCTATCATGACAATGTGTGGGAAACAAAATGGCAGTAGTGACATTTAGTAGGAAACAAATGTGTAATTGTGATAATACATGGGAAAGAAATGGGCAATCAGGATAATACATGGATAAAAATAGGCAATAATGGCAAAACTTGGGAAACAAATTGGCTGTCATGACAATACCCGGACAACAATAGACAATCATGACAATACGTGGGAAAAATTGTGATACTTTGTGGGATATAAAGGAGTAATTGTGGTAATACATGGGCAAGAAATAGGTAATAATGACAGTTCATGGGAAACAAATTGGCAGTCATGACAATACTCAATCAACAATAGGCAATCGTGACAATACCTAAGAGAAATTGTGATACTTTGCAGGAAACAAAGGGGTAATGGGGGTAATACATGGGCAACAAATAGGCAATAATGGAAGTTCTTTGGAAACAAATTGGCAGTTATGACAATACTCACACAACAATAGACAATCGTGACAATACGTGGGCGTAATTGTGATACTTTGTGGACAAAAAAGGGGTAATGGGGGTAATACATGGGCAACAAATAGGGACAAATGACAAACTGGCAATCATGACAATACCTAGAAGAAATTGTGATACTTTGCAGGAAATAAAAGGGCAATGGGGGTAACACATGGGCAACAAATAGGGAAAAATGACAGTTCATGGGAAACAAATTGGCAATCATGACCCTACTTTTTGCTCACCCATGATGGGATGGTGGAAGTCATTAGAGTTTCACCTCGTTCACTAAGCCAAGTTAACTCTTCACCATTTTCCTGACCATAATAAATAAACAGTAAATACGCCCAAAAACGCAATACATTTCATTTAATAGAGATCCTGTTTATTGGTTTACTGTCGGTGTTTTCTGCAGACTAGTTTCAAAAAACAGCAACCTCGTATTTAATTAAAGAAGTCTTTGTGAAAGCATTTCAATACCCTTGTATGAAGTCCTTTTTCTGAAGGCGCGTGCAGCCGCAGCAAAACCCTTTCTGCTCTGGGGACTCAAATCCTGCTTAGTAAATAAATATTTAATCCCCGGTTCATCTGTGATCAGAGAGTAAACCTATTGTGTCATCTCCCCCTCAGCCCCCCTCAATAATACAGGGACGAGCTGCTAGAACAATTTTCATTATTATAGATGTTCGACTTGATCAAACGCGCAAACATCCCCATTAAACAAGCCGCACCGCGGGCACGCCATTAATATTTTATTAATCCTCTTTAATTAACAACTGGCTTAAACTGTGCCTGAGCTGCTTATTACAAGGGATCTTTTACACAAGGAGCATGGAAGAGGAGTAATGCTGAATAAATACTGCAAAGGCAGGCCAAAAGTGACAGTGATGTCGCCAGTTTGTGCAGCAATAATGCTCATTAGTTAAACACACCAATCTATCTATTACATTGACCACCATCAGCACCGCTCACAGTTGTGCTCATGAAACTACATGCAGTTTTACTGCAGGATTGAGAAGTATGTTTGTATTTGATATCACATTAGTCCTCATCGTTAACATGCAGTGATGTTGGTTTTACACGTGCTTTCTATTTTTTTCTTGTGTCGTTCCTCTATCTTTAAGGCCCCATGTGCACTGGTGTGAATTTCATCCCACCATATGAAACACACAGCAGCCCACAACAATAAATATGCCTTAGAAAAAAATAATGTTCAATGTTTCCTGCATTATGCCTCCCTTTTAGCCCCTTAGTGTCACCCCCCAGGGTGTTTTCTTGGCTTCCAAATCACTATGATTGGCTGACACAGTGATCATATGATTGGAAGCCAATCTTACAAACTCCTGAATATTGCTAAGTGAGCCGGTGCTGCCAGTCACAGCTCAGTGACATTGCCGGGGGCACATGATTGAGCGTACTTCCAGTATATAACAGTGATACCTGCTCTACGCATATACAGTATGTGTCAGCATAGGATGAATTCCATCCAATCTTTCCTTTCCCTTTCTTTTCCCGTTCCTTTCCTTCTTTCTTTTTCTCTCTCTCTCTCTCTTTCTTTCTTTCTCCCTTTGTCTTTCTCTCCCTTTCTTTCTCTTTCTTTCTTTCTTTCTTTCTTTCTTTCTTATTCCTTTCATTCTTTCTTTTTCTCTCTCTCTCTCTCTTTCTTTCTTTCTCCCTTTGTCTTTCTCTCCCTTTCTTTCTTTCTTTCTTTCTTTCTTTCTCCCTTTGTCTTTCTCTCCCTTTCTTTCTCTTTCTTTCTTTCTTTCTTTCTTTCTTTCTTTCTTTCTTTCTTTCTTTCTTTCTTTCTTTCTTTCTTCGTCTCTTTCTCTGTTTTCCTTTTTCTTCCTTTCTTCCTTCCTTCCTCCCTTCCTTTCTCTCTCTCCCCCCTTTCTCTCTCTCTCTCTGCCTTAAAGGAGAACTATGAGGTGAGTGCTTTTCACTCATCCTCATAGTTCTAGCCGACCTGTGACAATGAGACTGCCACAGGTCGGCTCAGTAGATCGGGAGGTGAGGGAACACATACCGGCGTTCGCTCACCTCTTGATCCTCTCTGCCGTGACAGGGGAGGGGCTGGATTCCCCCCTCCCCGCTCCGATCTGCCAGCGCTGACTGGCGGAACGGACGGGGGGAGGGGGCGGGTACAGCTGGCTCTGCCTCTAGATAGGCAGAGCCA